CTTCACAGAGGAAATGATTCCTAAGTATCCCTTATCTTAAAATTAAATAGGTGGCGATGGGAGAGAAACAGAACAGCTGTGTAGAGGCTGTACTGAAAGAAAACAGAAAGGATTGTGTTCTTCTACGCTGTCCTGCTGCTTTAAATATAATTTTATAGGCAATTAAAAAGTGAAGTAGTGATAATAGTCTGACAAAATTCTTCCTTATCTTTGCTCCCTGACTTTACCTATCACTGCAGGAAGACCAGTTCACAGCTTGACCATATCTTAGGTTGCAGCATATGAATCACTATTCTCCAAAAAGGTATTATTTACTTAAGAGTGATTAACAGGGATAAGAAGGGTCAGGGTGTTCCACTTCGTGCTGTTAGATGAACTAACTTGATGATAGGCATAATGCAATGAGTCTGGGAGAGCTGTACTGTGTGCCAAAATGATCCTATGCATTATCAGATCTTACCTACCCTTGTTTAAACTAAACATATTTGGCAGCTACTCAGTTACATTTTCCATATGGTGCAGTATCTTCTGAGCAGCAACTTGAATCAGCCTTTTTGAAGTGATATTTTGAGTTCTTTTCCTGCAATCCATATTTCTCTCAACAGTGAATGCTGAGTGCAATAATAAAAAAACCTAAGGAGTCTATGTGCTTTAATTAGTCTGTTCTTGTAGCTATCGTTATTATTAATGGAAGACCCATGTTGATACCCAGTGGGGAAAAACCAAACAAACAAGCCTTTGAAAGGCCATTTCATTTTAAGAAGGCAAACAAATTACATCATTTGACTTAAAAAGAAGAAAATTGATTGATCTGATTCTCCACTCACCCATGTCATTTTTCTACCAGAGTAACAGAGCTGATGTAAGTAGAACTTTCCAGGATGAAGAACAGAACAGGGGAACAGACACAGGGTGTGTATTTATGCAAGTCTTTCAACATCAGTTCTGGGATGGGAGGGTGATCAGAGTTTGGAAGACAATTCTGGAAGCTTTTCTGAGGACACTCAGTGTGAGTGCATTTGCTCAGCCCATGTAGGGTGGCTATTTTCTGAAAGAAAGACAGGGTAGAAAGAAATAGAAGAAGGGTGAAAAATAGTTTAGATCTGGAAAGGCTGGGATGTGAAACACATGTCATAGGATGACACAGTGGGATGACAGACTGGATGAATAGTGAAGGAAGGAACATAGGAAATAATGAGTTGGGGGCCCATGTTTTTGGTTGGCGTGAGCTTATACTTTATTCTCTTCCTTCCAGCCTCCTTCCCAAACTCTGCAGGACAATATCCTGATTTCAGTACAACTCCTCAAAAACCTGGAAGCATGACTGGAAAACCAGATCATTTTATCCACTCACATGGGAACTGGCTGAAATAAAATGTACAGCAAGCCATTCTCCAATGACTTGTGATGTGAGAACAGGGAGTATGGGGAATGGGCAATAGTGATGGATTCATTCCTTGGCAGATCTTCTTGGCCATTTCCTTCCACACTCTACAACCTCGGGGAATTTAACAGCTCAGCTACTCCAAGCCTCTGGAAGTTTTGTTGGAGCAGGAAAAGTTACGCCAATTTCTGTTCCTTGCTACACCAACCAGTGCTTTCATCTAGAGCACATTTTGATCCAGAAACTGTTTTTGTTAATTATCTCCTCAAAATGCTTTGATTTTTCTCATAGATTTGAAAGATGTTGCATGCTGACCCCATGATGACTTCCATTCATGAACTTTTAATATATTTTTTCTGTCTATCCATATTTTAATCTCAAAACTCATGCAGCATTTCTGCAGGTTCCTTCCAATCTCTGCCAGGTCATTGAGGAAATCCTGCTCATTAGATTTGGTCACCCACAGTGTGAGAACTTCACCTCAGAATAATCTCCAGAGCACATTTCCCTGTTCCTGCAAGGGACAGGGACTTCATTTCCTGACCACACTCAGTTAATAATTTTATCTATTCGGCCAGAAATGCTAATGCTCTTTGAATAGATCATTTCCTTTAGCTGGAAAGAATTTCTCTGGTTTAACTAGCAGTACAGGAAGCAGTTTTACATAGATTTGATTATTTATTATTTCCTATGAGTGAGCAGCATATCCTGTGATATGCTGTGATATGATTTCCTAATTAGTGTGTCAAGTGTAAATTTCATTAGAAGGAATGTCAAATCCCTCACTTTTGGCTTAAAATACTAAGTACGAAAATAGTTTGAAGTCAGTCAGAAGTCTTTCCTCCAAAGCACCTTTGGCATTATGTTCTTGTGTGACTTAGCAATCTTTGTAAAGTATAAAAAATAGCAAAAATGAATTTATCTTGTGTTACTGTTAGAGTTCTCCTAAGATGGAATATATAGTATTGAAAATATCCCTGTGCCACTATGCTTTGCCAAAGGGATAGCCAGGAAAGAGGCCAGGACCTAGAATGCATCCCTCAAACACAACACTAATTACCACCCATCTTATGCTAATACTGGAATATACCTAATTATCTGCACCAATCTGACCTTTAGGTCAGGTGAGGATTCATGACAAAGAAGAATTAAAAATTTTGGACCCCTGCGGTGGATCACTCTGTGCTCAGATTCACTGGCTACAAAAGGAACAGGAAAAAAAGTGCAGGGGGGACATGATATTGTGGTAGGGGTGAACAGAAAGAAACTGAGGTATGGTTGTGTTTAAAAGTGATAAAAGAGAAAATAATAGAGTATTTTCCTGGAATTTTCAGGCACTTCTTTGTATTTTGGACAGCTGCAATTAAAGTTGCACTCATCAGATATTTGTGGTCAATGAATTCAGCACTCTATCTTCAGAGTAAATCTCTGGATTCCTCTTCTTTACAAGGAGACCGGAACACTGTTTCTTGGAAACACTTTTAGAAAAAAGCTCTGTTTTCTCAATATTTCCTGCTGAAAAGCCATCATTTTTCACCTAGGTCTGCTCCTCCTCAGCTTTGTGGAGGGGGACTCCCTACATTTGGATTCATTTCACTCTGGGACTGGAGATGCATCTGTTCTGGTGGGCCTGGTTCATGCAATCCAAAGGCAGCCTGGGTTATGTTGGAAACTCAGGGATGTGCTCTGGGGCTGATGTGTTATTGACTGTGTCCTTCTCTGACACACACACAGAGTCAGTAACAGCAATTTTATAGAGTAATTCTTCCAGCCTTTCTTCATTTCTGTTAATTTTCTCGGAAGTCTTTGAAGCCAACAGTGTCAAGCGCTGTCTGAAGCATTCTAGGTATTATACCATTGTTGGTACTTTGCCATTTAAAGTAAGAAAGTTTCCTTTTTTTTGGCTAGTGACATGAATTGTCTGTAAATGCATCCCATACTTGCATGAGGCTTTTTGCCATTTTACCAGATGGAAATTTCATATCTAATTTAATGTCCATTAGGTCTTTTTCAGTGCCACTGCTTTCCAAGTATCTCCCTCCTATGAAGTTCATATTAACTGCCTGCCTGACCTCCCCTCCCACTATACAATTATCTACCCCTTCCTCTGCCTGAAGACCTTAAAACAAAACCTGGAATTAAATATATGCATATTTAGTGCTGTGCACTCCTGATGCTTGTGTTGGATCCACCGACACCTGGTGAGAGCAGGCTGTGCTGGGATCAACAATGGATAAACAAGAGGCTGCTGCAATCAGTGTTTCCCTACTGGCAAAAAGAGGAGGAAGGATCATGCCAGGAGTGAGGCGCAGCGGGGTCACAATTCTGTTTCCCTCAGGAGCTGACAGCGCTGAAAAAACGTGTATGGCTGCTGCAGGCGTTACTGCTCTGGCCAAGGTGGAAGCAGATTTTTTCCACTTCCTTGCACAGCACAACCACTCCATTAAATTAATAATCCAACCCTCAATGCCGCAGATGACAGAGGAGGCCTTTGAAACCTGACTGAACAAATGCTTCCAGCACGCAGTGAACTCTGGGTGCACACGGACTCCTCTCTCCATCAGGGAAATCACTCATTAGCCTGGGCTTGGATATCCTGCTGATCCGGGGGCCGGTGTGCAGCCTGTCAGCAGGAGCTTGCTGGGGACTGCTTTGTTTTGTGCCCATGCATTTTTAATTCCCTTCTGCCTGCCCCTTCATTAAGCTGCTGTTTCTTGAAGAGGGGTTCAGACCTTCCCAGGAGTGCAAGGGCCAACTTAGCTCGCAGCAGAAAGTGGGGAACATGCTCACCGCCGGCTTGGGTTCTAAACAGAGACTAGGAAAGGAAATTTATCTTCTACAAGTTATAGTGAACAAGGAAGGGGATGAAATTCATATAAGTCAGGCACAGGAGGGGTGAGCAATCCTGTTGAATAATCATCTACATAAGCTCCACTTAAGACAGATATTTACAGTGGAAGAAGGGCTGCATGGGGGTTGAAGCATAAAAAGACAATTTATTTTGCACATTTAGAAATCTAGACAGGACCATAATAAGTATTGCGAGACTGTTGAAATTACCACTTACCAAGAAAATCGTATGTGCTGATACCAGGTATTACCAAAATATGTCTTTACTTTAGAATCCAATCTTGAAGTATTTGAACCAGCAACCCAAGCTAGCATCCCACCTTAGAGGAACCTAATCATAAACCTGGGTGAAGGATCCTACAGGCTCCAGAGGGTCTGTTTCTGGGGAAAGAGCACAGGTACTACATGTGAGGCTGTGAGCCTGCACACTGAAAACCCCAGGACATGATTCTGCTGCAGGAGCTCTGCAGCTGGCACAGAGCACTGGGAATAGCTGGGTGACTTCAGGGGCTCTCTCCAACCTGGTTTTCACAGTATGGGTGACAACCAGGATTCCTCTAAAGATGCCTCAATGCATTGCTGGGTTCAACCTCTGCAGGGCAAAACCTCAGCCTTGTCATTTAAATATTAACTGTTGTATTAAACAATAGTCATTGAACTTACACCCCTAATTTATTATTGGGGAAGGTCTTGCTTTGCCATTACTAGGGAATACATGCTGCAAGAACTCACAGTTTGACAGAAGAACAGGGAATCTGATGAATGATGAGGTTTACTTGCACATTTTTAATCCAGCCTGAATGTAAATTTCTTCAGCATCCAGGGACTGTTTGGATCCAGTTTTTCTCCAGGCCCATCTCTTCTTTTTTCAGATGACTGTTATTTTTTGAAACATAACACTGTGCAAATAAAAGTGAAGCTGTACTTGATTGTCAAGAAATGTATGGAGAACATCAGTAGTGTAGGGAATATATGCTCAGGGAATAAGCCTTCAGCAGGAATGCTAATTTAGTTATAGTTTTTTAAAGCTGACTGCAAACAGCTGGGTAGCATTAACTGTATTAGGAAAACAAGAAAGGTGGAGCAAAAATCTAGGGGACTAAGGTATGGCAGTGCCAAATATATGGAAAAGATTTGGGATATGTCAAATGTACTGCTGCTGGACCCACACTGTATAAGGGTGATATGGTATGAAGCTATCTCTGGGATTTTCTAGCACACTGAAGGACTTGTGGAGCAATGGCTGTGGCTTGTGACAGGCACTCTCTTAATAACATGGGAGAGACACAGAAACACTGGTAAAAATAGCATGTGCTGTGTTCTTCTGTAGAGTCTTCAGTCCCACTATGGATGAGATCCTGACAGTCCTTTATTCTTCTTTTACACACATGTTGCAGCTACTTAAAAAGTCTGCAGATTCAAGGCTGAGATATTAGGTTTAAACTACATGTGTTCCAGCTGCATAGCACTTACTTTGCACTTTACATTTTCCAAGAGCTGTACAAATGTTTATTAATTAACTGAATCCCAGCAACACCACTCTCACAGTGGTTAGAGCTTTTCTCTGTTTTTTATGGATAGATGGAGGCAAAAAAACCCTCAGCATCAGACTGCAATACTTAGCCTCATGTAAGTAGATCCATGTTCATGCTGTTTCCATAGCTCAAGTGCAAGTTTCGTGGACTGTGATGTTAAGCAAAAATGCTTTGTAAGGAGCTGGTTACTAGTGTGAGTAAGATGTTCAAAGTATGGCCCTTTTGTGGTTTGCCCAAGACCACACAGTGAGTTAGGAGCAGAGCTGGGATTTTACTTCCTTTAACTGATTTTCTCACAATTGTGGTTTCATTGCAAACTTCTTGGGTTACTTTCACATTTTTTCTATTGCTCAATGTCTCTATACCTTATTTTAGATTGTTTTTTAGGCTTATTAGAGATGGGCTTGAGGTGGGACAGCAGATGTGTTGCTTCTTTACTCTCTGGGGACATGAAGGTGTGTGTACATTCCACCAATTGCCCATTTATCTACTTGTGGAAACAGAACAGCTGATGTAACAACCCATGAGAGGTGATTGAAGCAACCTTTCTTTAGAGCTAGACACCTAATCAGAAGCAATTTGTCCACTGGCATTCATGTTTTTATGTTCATGTATTTACTCTTATTATCATGTTCTTCATGTGTTTCTTCACAAGATGACCATTTAAAATGCATTTGAAATACCCATTAGGGAAAAATTCTTTTTTTGCACAGATTTGCACAGAATTTTTTTAGAAGGTTTTAGCTCTCCTCCCAAAGAAATGGCTTATAAAACTCACTAAGAAGTTCATGTTTCAAAGCATGAAATCAAAGTGTCACCAAGAAAGTACAGTGACCTGTACTATGTATTACCACTTTCAGGCCATTTCTGACTGCTTATCCCTTCACCTCTGCCAGAAGTTACCGTTCTGTCAGATCTTCTAGGTTAAATAATTAATTAGGAGTTTCTTTAAAAATAATTAAATAGAAATTTCCTTAGTCTCTGGCTTCCTCTTTTGCACTACTGTTAAAAAAAAATGTAAAAAGCCAAACTGTAATAAGTTTCATGTTATTCTTAACACCCTAACCATATCATAGAGCTGAGCTAGGAAGCAAAGGGAGACAGAGCTGAACTGGCAGGACTTGGAGCTGAGGACAGTTTCCTTTAGCAGACACAGAAACAGGGAGCAGGGATGGGGAGGAGATTGAGGAAGGCACTTGCTGTAGCTGGGTCAATAGTAGCAGATGTAGGTGGGCCAAGTGTGCCCAAATTGTATCACTAAGTATAAAATTTGTATTAAAGTTTGGTTTGGAATTTGCTTTTGGAGAGCAGTTGAAAACCCATTCTCTAAAATTAGCTTTTAGCAAGTATTCCTGTTTATAAAGTTCATTCACTAGCATGTTTATGGAAAGTGAGCCCAGAAGGGAAGGAATGCAGTAAAAGTACATTCATTTGAAAATTCAAATAAAAATATTTGCTTTGAATCAGAGGCTTTTTTCAAGCCTTCTGTGCTCTTTGTCCAGTTTCTTAGTACTTTTGTTGTCCAGCAAAACAGTCACTGTCCTGAACTATTCTCATTACTGCACAGTACATGTGAGAGAAGACTCCTGCCTGTTGTGTTGGTCTTGTTTGTGAGAATGGGAAATTGTTATTTAAAAAAAAAACACCAATAAAAACAAAACCCAAAGAGACAACATCTCCCAGTCCCAAATTCACCCCCCATTTTGGGAAGCTGAGTATCAGCAACAGCTGGGAGCTTTTACTGCTCCACAGACAGTATTGATAACACTAAATCCAAAAAAATTAATCAAGCCTTCACCAGACTGACTTAAAATAATGAGGTTCCTAAACTGACACTTTTAATTTGTCTTCTGGATTCTGAGCAGGGCTCACTAAGTAGTAATCAGTGAATAGGATTACCTTTTAATTTTCCTTTAAAGTTTATGTTCTCCGCTGCTGGCTGCTTGCTCCATCCTGCCCCTCAGGCATTGTTCAGCCATGTTGCCGTTCCCTATTTGGTCAAGGAAGGAGGGAGAAAAAACATGAAAAGAAAAGGAAGGAAATTACTGGAAAGAATAAGAAAGTGGCCCAGGAGGCAGATCAGCAGAGTAATGGAAGTGAAAATTGATGTTGTTACTTCCTCAGCTCCTTACACATCTGGTAATGCTAATCAGATCTCAAATCCTCTGAGCAGTCACTTCAGATGTTGATACACATGGGGTTGATGATAATGCACTTGGATAACTGGGAGAGTTGAGTCACAACATCACTGTTGTGTGGGATCCTCTCTTATCTCCTTGTCAAGCAGCGCCAGGTTAGGCACTGGGTCACGGTGGGATAAAGGAACCTCAAACTGCCCGTAGGTCTCCATCCTCAGGGAAAACACAACTCTGCTGCCCTAATAGTCACTTTCTGGATTGAAAAGCACTTTGATCATTTTGATCTTAACATCATATGTTGAGAGCTGCATAGCTGCAAATGCAAAGTCATTCCTCTGATTTTATTGTATCTGCTCAGCATGGAGCCAGATTCCATGCAGTAAGAATTAACCTTGTTATCTGTATTAATTACTTCTATTTGGTTACTTAAACACACAAAGTCTATCTAACTTCTTATCTCTATTAGTTATGAAGGGAGACTGATGAAATCCCTTCACAAATTATATTAGAAACAAATGTTTTCCACCAGCTTTGATCATTTTTTTATTGGCGAGCTCTTTATTTTCATCCTTTTAAGTAAGAAAGACCACTGTGTAAGGAGGTGGACCAGAGCTGCTGATCTGAACACACTGATTTTTTGAGATCTTTGGATCCAGAAACTGATATCTAAGAAAAAATAAATACATTGTGAGGCAAGGACACCCTTTTATCTGAGCCTGTTTCAAGCTCTACAGAGACTGAGATGTGAAGGGGAGCACAGGTCACCTGATTTCTCTTTCAATGTTTTTTATGAAATAAATGTAATGGATTTTTTTTATTTCTGCTAGCTAGGCAGATCTGCAAACTACCCAGGAGACAATGTAAGAAAATTGGCCTGGCAGGGTCATTGACATCTCCAGAGATGTGTTAATCCAGTACCTTCTGCAAACACTAGAAGAGTGTCATTAAGAGTTTTAAGAAGTCAATCAAACCCTTTCCCACATTCATGTGTCTTTAGCTGCGTGTGGTAGGAAAAGGATCCAAAGGGTTTTCTCTCATGTGTTTTCTTCATGGTAATGAATTGAACTGTTCTCCAGCGTCCTAAAGCGTTCACTTTAGGGGTTTCATGGTACAGAAAATTTAGTGGGCTTTATTCTGTTGCTGTAAAATGTGCAAGAGTTACTGTTCAAAGATGTATTTAAAGTTCTCCTTGCTTCACGTAAGAGCTGGTGAAAAAATTTCTGCTGGAAATAGTTTTACATTCCATATCTTGTTCAGTCACCTCCTTGTTTATCTACTAATTTATCTTCAGAAATAAAACTACTTCAGAAGATGCTATTTGGTTTGTGGATTGTTCATTTATTTAAAAAAGAAAAAAAATAACCAGTGTTTTCACATGACCACTATGAAGGATAAAAACCCCATTTTCCTCTGAGTTCCTCTTTCTCTTATTCAAAAGAGAACATCGAAGTGGGCATTTACCTCAGCAACTGTGAATTGCATATTTTAGGGTTTTACTGTCTTATATGCTATCTTTCATTCTGTGCATTTGGTGAGGATCTTAAAATGCCTTACAATATCTTCTTCACATCATGAAATCTATTTTGTAGACTGAAAAAGTTAAACCAAACAAAGCTCGTTTCTAGCAGAGTCAAAATTTCTGGACTAAAGTTTAGAAGCCTCCAACTGCACAAAGCCATCTTCTTTTGTATGTACCTCCTATAATATGGTACAGTCATATTGTTACACATTTATGGGCACTGATGACTCCTACTTTTTGGACAGTCTGAGTGCTCAACATTTCAGAACAACTTTATTCCTTCTGTTTCTCTATCTCAAATGACAGCTTGTAATTCTCTTTGGTGATGGTAATACAGAATTTGGACTTTCAGACTCTTGACCGCCTTGATTATATCCAGCAGATAACAGGAAGTCCTATGTCCTTCAGTGATAGAGATGGAGTCTCTTCATGGATATTTGTCAGCTACTTATGTTTCCCTACTGTGCCTTCCCTCAGATTACTCTCCAAAAACATCTGTGCAATTATGCCATGTGATTCAGAGTCTAATGGCTTACATGCCCTGATTGCCTCACTAAAAAAAAAAAAATATCTGTGATTTTTCATTGGTCATATCAGAAAGATTTTCTTCAGCTGGATGACTTTTGTGCTCCACTCTTTGTATTCAGCTTCAAGTTTCAGTCCAAATGAACCCCAAGTAACAAAAATCTCTTAGTCCCACATGGTTTCAATACAAAATCATGTTTTGTGTTCATTTCAAAATAGGCCCAGGTTAGTTCAAAAGATTCATGGACCTTGGCAAACTTTTCAAGGAGCATGATTTAAGTTTCTGTGTTTGTACTGTGTGGTTTTATTGTTTCTCATGGTCTCAGTTAGGAATATAACATGGATTCACTCTGCATCAGCTATGCTGATATCTGGCCTGCATTTGATGGTTGATGCTCATGTTTTGATTCATATCTACCACTATTCTTATATGCACAGCTGAGCACTTGTTTAATCTAAAAGATTGACTTTCCTTAGATCAATTAAGAATTTGGTTTCACTTGTAAAATAAACACATTCAGAATTACAGATGGAGAAAAAGACATCTAAGGTCAAAGAACTTAGGAACTTGGCAGATTCTCAGAGGAACTATATCAAAGAAACAAATATAAACTCTTTAAATATGTAAGGAAGGCTAGTTATTTGAGTTAGAGACAAATTTGGTTGAATTATGAGCTTTTCAGAGCCTTTGAAACAAGGAGGAAAGATGCAGAACTATCCACATCCACGTCCTCTTTCCTGATCTCAATTTCTTGGGATGCAATGGTATGACATGGGAAACAGAGGGGTAAATTATGTTTTCTTGTTTTAATATTGGCAAACTAGAGTTTACCCAGGTTTTTAATTCATGATCTTGAGTATCAGCCAGGTATTTGAGACATTTTTATTCATCCCACAGAATGTGTTTCTACTGAATATTACTGCATCACTGTAAGGATCTATGTTCTGAAATTTGGACTCTGATCCAAATTTTCTCCCTGTTTGGGGGGGCTTTAGATTTTGCTTCATAATTAGGGCTATTAGGAGAGATGCACTGATAATTATTTGCATTTCTATCAAGTTGTTTCCTAAAGTGAACCAGAACTCAACATAAAGAAGCACTGGTTTGCTTTTCAATTTCTGCATTTCTGTTTTTTGATATCGCGTTCCCTTCCAGTCAGAGCTCTGCTGTTTAGGTACTACTTCAGCAAGAAAATATGAGAAATAAAATCAGAGTGAAATAAATCTATCTTCATCTCATTTCTCTCTGCCATTCACAGATGTCAAGTGAATACAATAGCTCTTTGAGATGACGGACCCATGTGGGGCAGCAGCTCCAGTGACCCGAACACCACGGTGTACAATTCTGCAAAGATTCCATAGCAACTGCAGGAAAAAAATGGTAAAAGCTTGGCACAAAGGTATACTTTCAAAAGCACCCCTTTATTTATATAAGCATGTGTACACATTCCTTGAGATAGCTCAGAAGCAGGAGATTTTGAGGTCTCACTGAACAGTGTGTCAGTCATTACCCAGCATGGAGATGCATTTGCAGCATTGGCTGTAGCTCACACAAGGAGGAGGACTGGGTGTTACAGGTCTTCTCCCAATGGTGTAGCTAAAATCACCAAATCACCTCCTCCTGGTGCAGCTGGAAGCAGTGCTCCTCTCTGCCTGGTTCAGATTGCTGCTTGTGTTTTCAGTTGTAGCTGGCTGAAAATGTCCTATTTTATAATTTTTTTTTTTTGCATCAGTAAATAGGGTTTCATCAGCAATTACATTTCTCAGAAGGAAATGCAGAGGTGCAGCTCCTCAAAAGAGGAACCCTTATCTTAAGAAGTTTCCAAACACACCTTTGCTCTCTGTTTTGGAAATTTCATAAGAACTTGTGGATCAGTTTCTGGGTCTTACTCTGTGTGTCTATTTATGCAAAGAGGCGTTTCAACCCTGATTGTGTAAAGGGCATGACCATGGACTTCCAATCAAAACCAAAATGGCAACACCTCTGAATCAAAACCTGTGTGATCTGGAGCACTTCTGGCAGCTGATCAGCCTAGGGAGAAAATGAGCAATATCAACAGTTTATCTCCTTAAAGACCAGCTCAGGGCCACCTTGCAGTTTAGAAAGGGGAAAATTTGGATGCACAATTTGCTGGATAGTCTCTGAAAATCCCAAAGGCATAATCCTAACAATCTTTTTCCAGTGGAAGCCGTGGTCGCTCCAGAGCTTGTCACACCCTTTGGCAGCAGCACACAGAGGCCTGGCTCTGAGCAGACCACCCTATTTCCTGGAAGCCATTTACTGCTGCAAGTCACAGGAGACATAAAACTCTTTCTAGAGGACCTGGAAGAATGTAGACCTAACCCTATTTTTTGTCACCCTTAGCTGGGTTTGGTGAGAATTTACTTGGCTAAACTGGCAAAACTATATTTTTTCTTCCAAGAAAAAAATTCAGGGGAGAAAAAGGATTGTAGGTTTACATAAAAGTGAATTAGAAACACAAATCTATATTTTCAGCAGGATAAATACAAGCAAAATGTAGCCTGATACTTTATTAATTTTCCATTTTAATTCAAATTTTCAATATTTTCTGTTCAAATGTAGTTTAAAGCCAGTGAATATTCATTAAAACATCTTAGTGCCAGTTTATGAGTATGTTATGAACTACATTATTATTTTTTATTAATCATTTATTGGTGAACTGAAAGTTCAAGAGGTCAAATAGAGTGGGCATTTAATAGCTGTTTTTCACTAAAAAGATCATTTTTTCAGCAGATTCGGTTTGTAATGAGAATTAATTTTTGTGTTGAGTTCTTATCAG